CCTCTTCACTCTGCAGGAAAACTAAGGAAGCCACAAAACTCTCCATGAAAATGGCACCAGGGGGCGGGCGGGCGGGCGCTAAGAGGATGCCTTTACGTCTTTAGCCAAAATTTACTCTTTTTACACTGTTATGCAGGTTGCTGGTTCTTTTCCAAAGGTATCTATGGCAGCTCCCATGGAGCCATTTCCACCCCCTCTTCCCTCCTGCTGCCTCCCACAGAGGCAGTGGGGAGGGAGCATGCATTTTCCAAAGGTAGCTATGCCTCTGAGGCCTGTAGTATAAATATTAAGAAGTGTATTCTTATGGAGACCTTGCTGCACATGCTTCTGAAATGCAACTACCAGTGGGATGGAGGGTTAACAGTCAACTTATGTAGGGTGTATTCATCATGTGGTTCTTTCTTAGGCCAGGTCTACGCTAGACCCGGCAGCTCAGCTTAAGGTACGCAACTCTAGCTACGTAGTATATATACCTGGAGTCTGCTTACCTTAAGCCGAACTTGGCAGCGTCCCCACAGCGGGAGGCCGATGGGGGCACTTCCTCCCATCGGCTTCCCTTACTCTTCACAAAAGGAGGAGTACCTGACACCAGAGGGGGCACCCTCTGAGTTTGATTTAGCGAGTCTTAACAAGACTCGCTAAATCAAACTCTGGAAGATCGATTGCAGCAGTGATCTTCCAAGTAGTGAAGATCTCTTTTACATTGTAAGCTTTTTGGAGAAGGGTCTTGTTTCTGTGTGTACAGTACCTAGCATGGTGGAGTCTTGATGCTTGATTAGGGCCTGTAGGCATGATACCAGTACAAATAATAGCAAAAAATGACATTATCTTCTCCGTCATGCTTGTTGTAAACTCTCAAATCAGGGATCCTGTCTGTCTTTATGCTTGTATGTATATCCTAGCGAAGCCAGAGCCATGAAGAGCACACCATTTGCAGCAGACAGTTTGAATGGCGCTCCCGGCAGCACGGTGACATACAGACAGAAGGCATTAACTATTATTTATTTCTTGTTTCAGAATGTGACAAAAACAGTAGAAGAAGAAAAACCCAAAGCTCCCACTGTCGAGGAGATTAAACAGAAAATCGATGCTTACAACACCAAGGTTACAAACTGCTTGTTGATGAAGTTGGTATGTATTTTATTTCTCTGTCTACTTTACTTTGTGCATTAGGTAGGCATTTTAATTCTGGTTTTGGAGGTGCCTCGGCCGTTATGCTGCATCTTTTCATAGGGGGAGAAATTCACCCAACGTGGATAGCTCTGGGTCATCTGCCAAATAACTGCAGGTGATCAGGTCCTACGGCAATGAGAATAATCAGGCAGATGGCATAAATACATGGGGGAGACAACTGCATTCATAAACAGCAGACAATCAGATGATGTAACTTCATTGGTTACCGGCACAGGGTGTAGAACATAAGGGTGGCTAAACTGGGTCAGACCAAAGGTCCATCTAGCCCAGTGTCCTGTCTGCCAACAGTGGCCAGTACCAGATGCCCCAGAGGGAGTGAACAGACCAGGGAATCATCACGTGATCCCTCTCTTATCATCCATTTTCAAGCTTGCCTTGCATTTGAACCATAGTCTGTCAAATGAATTCTGAGTGTAGCATTCATATGAACCTATTTTAGCAGTTGCATTCTCCTGAAATGCTTAAGACTACAGACTGGCCTGAATCAAAAACTTAGGTCTAAACAGACCCAGCCTTTGAGGATGGGGTCATGGAAAGCAGTATTTGAATTTGCATTTTAACTCAGACTGCATCCAATGCTCTTCTTATGAAAGTAGGAGAATTTGCAGGGGGAAGAGCATAAGCTCTTTGGGGGTAGAGACTGTGTCTTTTTCTATACAGGACCTAATGCAAGGGGTCCCAATGGTTGGTTGGTGTGTCATGCTCTAGTCTGGTACCTGCAGGATCTGGCCAGTGTCAAACCAGAGAATTTGCCGGACTACGGGAGGTCAATATTGTTTAACAGCATCACCAGCACTTCCACTGCTTAGTGGACTCTTACAAGACGTTAGGGGTAAACTAGAGCTAAATAGCACAGAGCCAGGACTGGTGGCGGTAAAGAAACTTTGAGACCACAGGAAACTTGGCTACCCCCATGATAAGTGGACACCCGGCTAACTACAATCATACCGGACCACAGATGGTGCCGGACTAGAGAGGTTCAACCTGTACTACTAATTGATGGGAGTAAAATTTCAGAATCCTTTGTGATCTGGGAGCCTATTTCACTTAGGGAGACCAAAGCTCTGACAGCAAAGTGCTTTGGAAATTTGTACCCACTGGTTAAGGCCTTTCTAGTGCAAAGTACCATCGTTCAGTCTTAAGCAAGGAGGGATAGCTTGGTGGTTTGAGCATTGGCCTGCCAAACCCAGGGTTGTGAGCTCAGTCTTTGAAGGGGCTATTTAGGGATCTGGGGCAAATCTGTCAGGAATGGTACCTGGCCCTGCCATGAGGACAGGGAGCTGGACTCGATGACCTCTCAAGGTCCCTTCCAGGTCTATGAGATGGGTATATCTCCATATATTAAAAGCAACTTGCTGACTTTTCAGGAGCCACTCTGAGAACCAAATTAAATGCTTCTGGGCTTCTTTCTTGCAGATAGTTGTCAAAAGAAAAAATACCCACCATTCTACCAGGCTTCCTCAATGGGATCTCAGGAGAGGCTAATAATTCCTGTGACCCCAAGACTCAGCTCCTGGTTGAACCCTACTGATGTTTCCCTATAGTTAAATTAAGGGGGATCCAGTAGACATAGAATACTTAGATTTTCAGAAAGCCTTTGACAAGGTCCCTCACCAAAGGCTCTTGTGTAAATTACATGGCCATGGGATAAGAGGGAAGGTCCTTTCTTGGATTGAGAACTGGTTAAAAGACAGGAAACGAAGGGAAGGAATAAATGGTAAATTTTCAGAATAGAGAGGGGTAACTAGTGGTATCCCCCAAGGGTCATTCCTTGGACTAATCCTATTCAACTTATTCATAAACGATCTGGAGAAAGGGGTAAGCAGTGAGGTGGTAAAGTTGGTGGATGATACAAAACTGTTGAGGATAGTCAAGACAGAAGCAGACTGTGAGGGACTCCAAAAAGATCTCACCAAACTGAGTGATTGGGCAACAAAATGGCAAATGAAATGTAATGTGGATAAGTGTAAAGTAATGCACATCGGGAAAAATAACCCCAACTATACATACAGTATGATGGGGGCTAATTTGGCTACGACAAATCAGGAAAGAGATCTTGGAGTTATCGTGGACAATTCTCTGAAAACTAGCAGAAAAAATATTTGACTTATGTGACCAATCAGACACTGACCATAATGAACAGGAAAAAGGCAAATAGGATGCTAGGAATTATTAGGAAAGGGATAGAAAATAAGACCCAGAATATCTTACTGCCCCTGTATAAAACTATGGTACGCCCACATCTTGAATACTGTGTACAGATGTGGTCTCCTCACCTCAAAAAAGATATTTTGGCCTTGGAAAGGGTTCAGAAAAGGGCAACTAAAATGATTAGGGATTTGGAACGAGTCCCATATGAGGAGAGGTTAAAGTGACTGGGACATTTCCGTTTAGAAAAGAGGAGACTGAGGGGGGATATGATCGAGGGATATAAAATCATGAGTGGTGTCGAGAGGGCGGATAAAGAAAAGTTATTTATTAGTTTCCTAAATAGAAGAACTACAGGACACCAAATGAAATTAATGGGTAGCAGGTTTAAAACTAATAAAAGAAAGTTCTTCTTCACACAGCGTGTAGTCAACCTGTGGAACTCCTTGCCAGAAGAGGCTGTGAAGGCTAGGACTATAACAGAGTTTAAAGAGAAGCTAGATAATTTCATGGAGGTGAGGTCCATAAAAGGCTATTAGCCAGGGGATAGAATTGGTGTCCCTGGCCTCTGTTTGTCAGAGGCTGGAGAGGGATGGCAGGAGACAAATCGCCTGATTATTGTCTTCGGTCCACCCTCTCTGGGGCACCTGGTGCTGGCCACTGTCAGCAGACAGGCTACTGGGCTAAATGGACCTTTGGTCTGACTCAGTACGGCCATTCTTATGTTCAAAGGCCATGAAGCTGTGAATTTAGTAGGGCTGTACAGATAATAATACAGGGTTTTGTTTTCCAGGGCTGCCATTCAGCACCTGAAGCACTTATTCACCAGCCTTATTTACACTGGGGTTCGTTTGGCATGAGCCACCACAGTTCAGAAGCTTGTTTTACAACTTTTTTTCCCCCCACTGTGGAAATTGTCAGAGTAATTTCAGTGTCCAGCAAATGACTTGTCACCCATAGATCAGGCTGTATTGTACTAGCTTGGATGAGTCACGATAACTAGAAAGTTGCATCACTGCAGTTCAGCAGCTGTCACATAGCTGACTTGGAGCTTGGTCAAACTTCTGAACAAAGTTGTGGAACCCATTGTCATTTGCTTACAATTCTAGCCCTTGATTGCAGCCTTGTTTATTTCTTGGGAGGAAAAACAAACTCTGTAAATCAAGAGCTGTTGGTAAATCTTGTGGGGGCTAAGGAAATGGTTGAGTTGACAAATCAGATTTAACAAAAGGAGCAAATTTCACAAAGCTTGTCAGTTTATGGAAACAAAGCCCCAAGTTGTTTCAAGAACCAGTCCTCACTTATGACTGAAGTGAACAAAAACAAGAGCAGGGAAGAGTCTTCTAGCAGCCAGGGGTCACTTAAGGGATATTTTCCCTCTTTTTGTGACCCATGATGTAAGATTGGAGTAGCATAGGTTCCAAAGGAGTTTTTCGTGGATCATTTTCTTGTAAGGCAAATGGGCCATCTTTTGCTTATAACCTGTATGGTCTTGGGCCTCTGTAGCAATTCACTTAAACAATCAATTCCACAGGTCCTAATCTTTTGTAGTTTGTTACTGTGTGGCAATCCACATGTTGTCCATTCTTAACCAGAGTTAGATTTCTCATAAGTCTGTGTAAAGGGCCCTTATCTCCAGATCTGGCCCAGGATGATGAAAAATCTCACAGCTCTCCTTCTCAATTGATGGAAATCATAGAACACTAGAACTGGAAGGGACTTCGAGAGGTCATTGAGTCCTGTCCCCTGCCCTCTCAGCAGGACTCAGTGCTGTCTAGACGATCCCTGATAGATGTCTGTCTAACCTGCTCTTAAATGTTGTACGATTTCAAAGATTTGGAGTGAAACTGGTATGAAAATAGCCAGTATAGCTCCAAATTATCCCCCCTCAAAACTCCAGTTCAGATGTTTATATGTTCTCTCCAAACCCCCTCTCCAGTGAAAGCAGACAGAAGTGTAATTGCAAGCACAAAGGGTATTTAATGTCAGTCAGTTTTCATAACTCTTCCCTGCAGCAGGAACAGTTTCCATAGAAGGAGACAGCAGCTTAAATAGCAGAGCACAGAAATAGTTCTGTAGTGACTAACCCTAAATTCTAGTGCCTTGGAGATTATTAATGGGGAAGTTTCAGGCATGATAGAAAACTGCCCTTGCCGTTTTGTCTGCCACTGGGTAAAGTATTGCAAAAAGCCCATCCACCATTACAGGCATTCGCTGAAAACCAGGCTTGCACCATGAGCGCATTGAAACTTGACTTTGGCCATCTCCTTTGCCTTAGAATGAGGATGGCACTTACACGGGCTTCATCAAAGTGCACTTGAAACTGCGCCGGCCGGTGACTGTGCCAGCCGGCATCAGGCCGCAGTCCATCTACGATGCCCTGAAGGAGGTGAACCTGGCAGAGACGACGGAGAAGAGAACGTCTTTCTACTTGCCGCTGGATGCCGTCACGCAGCTGCACATCAGCAGCACGACCACCGTCGGCGAGGTGATCCTGGGGCTTCTCAAGAAGTTTATGGTGGTAGATAATCCGCAGAAGTTTGCACTTTTCAAGGAGATGCAGAAAGATGGGCAAGGTGAGTTCACCCCGTATCCGGCAGCCTATCCCATAGGGGCTCAGTGAGGAGTCTTCCCACCCGCACCTCCCCTCCCCATTCCTCTCCTGTAGGGATGCTTTCTCTCCCTTCCAGAGCTGGTAAAATTGTGATTTGCGTTATGATAGAGCAAGAGGTGCTCTCTGACCCACTGTACAAGGTGCCAAACATAGACAGCACCGGTATTCCCTGTAAACTGTGTGCTTGGGCAACCACCCAGGAGAAATTCAAATGCCACCTATCTGATTAGCAGAGCACCCACAGCTAGCAGTATGGCTTTCTACTGTGGTGCATATCTGCACATGCCTTGGTGCACAGAACAAAATGTATTGCCCACACGGAAACAATTAGAGGGAACATTGGACAGCGCCTGCCCCAAAGACATTGCAACTTAAATCATGAGACAGACAAAGGGTGGCAGAAAGGGAGGATTGTGATCCCTATCTGTAAGATGGCAAACTAAGGACTTGAAAGATGAAGTGACTTGACCAAGCTCATAGGGGGAGTCGGTGGCAGACCTGGGAAATGATCCTAAATCTCTGGCGTCCCGGTCCAGTGCCTGAATCCATGTTTCCTCTCATTTGGTAGTGTCATTCCTACCAGCAGCGCTGTCAGAGGCTGTGCTTTCCCACCAGAAGATCTGCTTTGTGTCATTCTTCCCACTGCATTCATGGAGGAAGAGCCATAATAGCCAACCCATGTATATGTGGCCTCCCACCATAGTGATCCTGACTTCTTGTGGCCACATAAGGGTCAAATCTCACTTGTTGCAGGAGTTAGGGATGGCCTGGGACAAAATGCAGATGATCAGATGTGCCTGCGATTTCAGTTGGATTAAGTGACTCCCTACCCTGAGCGGCTGTGTAATGGTTTGGGCACTGCGTACGCACCTTGCAGCAGGGGCTGCTTATAGTCAGTCCGTCTTTCTTTGCTGGGGTGTGTTCAGGGTGTGTGTGAAAGGAGCTATATAAACTATAGATTACAGGCCAGAACACTTTGCAGCCTCACTGGTGTTGAACGGACGAATACATCAAAGAGTGAAGTGCTCAGATATTACTGTGTGGGGGAGGGTCTATTTAGGGCCATTAAGGAGGGTTTAATCAACAGTCTGCAGCCTACTAAATCCCTGGGAAAGGTTTGCCTTCCCTCTGTGTAGTAAAACAATCCTGCTACTATCTTATTCAGCCTCAGTGCCAGCCCCCTCTTAGCTAATGCAGTTATACATTGTTTAACAATGAAACTACCCCTGTTCTCTGGTGCACAGATAGGATCTAATTTCCAGTACCACAAGTAGCTCCTACTTAAGTTACAAGGCCTAGTGTCGGAGCCCAGAGGCAAACATGGCCACCTTTGTGGAATGCAAGCTGTTGCAACGGAAGCTAGGAGGTGCCACGGACTAGCTGGCTTGGGAGCCCCCTATAGATTCTTGCGCCAAATTGTATTGTCGTGGTGGAAGAGAACTCCTTATGAAATGCAGCCACTTATGCCCCAGGCTTGTCAGCTCAGTTATAGTGGCCGGCTTCATGCATTAAAATCATGTTCTAAATGTTGATACTGTGGGTGTTGCAATCCTCCTCAGGGTGACTCAGCCCTTTGAGACAGTTACTCGCCTGCACGGAATTCAGCCTTACCCTGTGCTCCTGTACACTGTGCATGAATAGCTGAGGCCAGTATGGCTCTTTTCCAGATGTTAGGCATGTCCCTGGCCAGAATGTCCTGCTCATTTATTTAGCTTCCCCGTAGCAACTCTGAGCTCTGACAATGCCTTAGCTAATACCTGCAAACGACTGGCACTCTGCCTCACAATGAGAGTTTTAACCTTAGCGGAATCGTGACACACCCACCCTTGTAAATAAGATCTTGGCATTACATTTTTTTTTTTTTATAATTGGTAGTAAAGGGAGCAGCTCTGCCTGGAAATCCTGGCTTTTCTTCTTCCTTCTCTGTTCCCCGTTGTTCATAATTGTCATGTGCCTCTCCCCAAGGCTTGGGAGAAGACTCCAATTTCCACTGTGATACCTTCCACCAAACCCCCACCCAGGGGGGAAAAAACCCACCCTCAGAAATCCAACAGGAAGCTGATTTTCTTTGGTGTCATGGGTAGGCTGTCTTAGTACAAAACAGTGTAGGAGAGTCTGGATGAGGTGTTAAAAATTCCTGAAGGAATCAGGTACCAAATTCCCACTGAAATTAAAGTGTGTCCTTGCCTGCAAAGGGGCTAAATTGCATGGTTCTGGTTGGGCTGGCCAGCAGGGCGGGCTCTTCCTGGGTGAGAGATGGTATTTATACAGATCCTTTCATGGGAGGGTCTTACTACGCTTGGGCCCAGACTTTGTAATTTGGGTGCATAACTTTAAGCTTCTCAGTCCTAATGCAGGCACCTCAACTCATGGGCTGATTTTCCAATAGGCTGAGTCCTCAGCAGCCGCATTGATAGGCACTGCAAGATCTTCCACCCTTTGGAAAATGAGGCCACTTTCATAGGCACTTACATAGGGCTTATGGGATCTGCCTGCAGACTCCCAGGGCTGAATGTGGTGCCCAGAAGAGAATTAAGCCTGATAGCACATTCACCTTGAAGCAGGGAGAGTGAATGGGCTTTCACCGGCACAGTCGAAGCTAGGTCTCTGACAGGTGGCTGTGGTGTCCAGGACTGTAATTTCCGTAATAGGGATAGAACCTTTACTTAGGGTTGCATAGCTGACCAGCAGATATAGGATCTAGCTGTTGGGATCATTTGCTTTATGCACTAGTCTGCCCAGCCTCACTCTTTATAAACACCTTTGCGCGAGATGGTACAGCCCAGGGTAACTCTAGTTACAAAAGTCTAGGTCAAGATGCCTCAGGACCAACGTTTGTGTTTGTTCAGTAGCTTCCTGAGCATCTCCTGGCTTTTGATCTTCATGGCTCATTTAGAATTTCTCTCTTTTTCCTCCTGCAGTTCTCTTTCAGAAGCTTTCTCTAACAGAGTACCCCTTGTATCTCCGGCTGCTGGCTGGCCCTGACACAGACATTCTCAGTTTTGTGCTGAAGGAAAACGAAACGGGCGAAGTGGAGGTATGTCTGGGAGTCATTTTCCCTTAGCTTTCGTGCCCATGTTAGTAGACTTCCAAAAACAAATGTCCTTGTTCAACGTGGAAGACTTCCTGCAGTAGAAACAGAGTTTGAGAGGGCAGGAGTTGCTGGGGACAAAGGGAAGAGGAGCTGCAAATTAATTTTCTGTGTGTTACCGTATGATCAACCAAAACACTGAGTTAGATGCCAGTCTTCTCAAGGAATCCTTTGAGGTGCTTTATCTTGAACTTCTGACCTACCTCAAATGCAGCAGACAACTTAGTGCATTAAAAAAAAAAAATCTGTAAAAATTCTGTGGCCTGTTGCATGCTTTTAGGCCCTAATCCATTTGTTTTTGTTTGTTCATCAAACTAAGCAATACAGTCCACCCTTAATCCTCAGATTAGATTAGCTAACTAGGGCCATAGCTAATCCACCCATTTTAAAATAGAGGCCAGTACTATGCTGTATAATAAATCTCCAGCTTCCTAGGCCTTCATTTGACTTATGCTGCACAAGATGGCAACTCAGACCTTCAGAGAGCTTAGCTAAACCCCCACATGAGATGAATCTATCAACTGCTAAGCAGTATGGGGGACTGACACATAGCGGAGTCGTCATGTCCCAAGAAAAGAAAAATAAAAAAGGCAGGACTAAGTATGTCTGAGTTCCAAAGTTAGGGCCAGATATCTGTTTGTCAGGGATAGTGCCTGATGTGTAGTACTCCTACTGCTGAGTAGAAGGTGGCCTCTCGTAACCTGCATGATGGGGTTTCCATTACAGCATCTCTTACCATCTTTTGTTGTTTTCTCAAATTAAAAGCAATCTAAGTAGAACTCTCCCTGCTTGTTATAACATGCTATGATGGGTAGTTCTGATCTCTCCTGTCCCCTTGTGATAGAAAGCACATGTGATTGTATGAGCTTCTGTGGGATACAGCTTTGTTACTTTCCTGTTTTCTTCAGTCCCTTTGGAAATTGTTTTGTGAAGCCCAGTATTGCAGTGGAAAATTTTAAGTGCTGCCAGGTTTCACTTTGGGATAGTCCCACATCACTCTAAGCTTGGTTTGCATGTTGGATCAGCACAACTCATGAAGCTGGGACATATACCTTTATGAACAGTGAAGTGGGAAATGGTTTTCCTTTCTTCTGAAAATTGGAGTTTTTGAAAAAACTTTCTTGTCCCACATTGGCCAAATATTTTCTAACCAAACCTACTCCCTCCTGCCCCATTTCAATTTTTTGAATTAAAAACAGAAAAGTTTGCACTACATCCAATTTCTAAACAAAGTCATTTCAGACTGAAAAAATTGGAATTTTTCATTTTCAAAATGTCAGTTTGTGGAAAGGGCCCCTTTCTCCCACAGTTTTGGTTTTGATAAATCAGCATTTTGATTAAAGCATTGAGTTAGAAAAATTTCTAACCCACTCTATCTATAACTGGAGGACAAGACACTTGCAGTGTCTAATTGCAAGGCCAGTTAACTAGAGCTTTCTGTCTCTATAGTAAGATAACTGACCTTGCTCAGTAGCATGTCCCTGACTTTCATGTTGAGCAACCAGCTGCAGAGTGAACCACAGGTGTGCGTGTTACAGGCGAGTGGCAGAAGGTGGTGTACTGCTCACCTCATTTCTCTGGTTTTGCTTTCTCTGCAGTGGGACGCATTCTCTATCCCAGAACTACAAAATTTCTTAACAATACTGGACAGAGAGGAAAAAGACAAAATTCAGCAAGTACAAAGGAAGTACAGCAACTATAAACAAAGACTGCAGGAGACTTTGAAAGAAGCAGGGGGCAAACCCGGATAATCCCGAACACAGAGTGTGTATCAGCCGCAGCTAGATATTTTTAAAAAGAGATGCTTCTCAGGACACTTCAGATTTGTCTGATCCTTTCTCCTTGTCCCTCGTCTGGCGAGTGACGCACCCCACAGAGACAAATGTTGCATTTCTTTTCCTTATGAAATTTTTATCACTGGAGTACAGCCAGTCGGTAAAGAATGGGAAGTCTCCATTTAAGTCTGCAGGCCTTCGACAAACCAAATAGAGATGCTGCTTTGCTTGCCGTTGTCACATTGGATCCGTCAAGCAGCGAAACTTCATGGTAACTGCTGAATGTTAAGTCAGTAGGAATACTTACCGGGTGACTGTGGGGAACAGGATGGAACAACATTGCTTTCATCATCCGCCCAACTGTTTACCCCTTGGCTTTGTCTGAAGGTTCTGCGGCTGCCTTGCGTGTGGTGGTTGTGTTGTGTCGTCCTGTCGTTTCATAGGTCAGGTGGCCCCAGGGGAAGCAGCAGATAAAGCAACAGGCTTGTTGCACCCCCTCCTGTGCACACTGCAGCTGTAGTTGATGCCAAACACATTTGTTGCACAATTTTAAGCTATCTACTGAAATGTAGAAAGTCAGGTGCCAAGAAGGCTCCATGTCCTAAGTAGTCTGGGCAGTAGGTTTTTACTGAGACTTTAGCTAATGTTCTTCCTAGGGAATTTGTTCCTCTCTCTCCCCCTCCACCCCCCAATGAAATGAAAGTGAAACTAGGATTGCTTGGCTAGTTGGTCTCGGAGTGAGAGCAAGTGTTCCTTGCTGCTCAATGCGGTTGTTGTGTACATGGCCAGTTTCCAACTCAGGGACCAATACTGGACAGGTTTCCTCCTCTTTTTACAAGTAAGAGATAGTGGAGGAGAGAACATGGGGCTGACCCCTTTGCAACTGGAGCAGCAGCTGCTCAGCCTCCTGTCACCTGCTCACCTTCCATCGCTGCACCATCACCCAACCGCCTACAGAGCCTCGGCATCCTCCTCTTGTCTTCCTTCTGCACGTAGGCAAGAGGCCACTAGACTCCCTGTCTGACTCCCACCTTGCTACGCTTGGAGCTGGGAGACGTTAAAAAGAATGTCATTTCTCACCACCTTCCTTCCGTCTGAGAAGCAGCTTAGCCTTTTGCAGATATTCACAGGAGGGGTGTCTAACCCTGCCATGGCTCCTGGTGACACACGTCTCCACATGGCTGCTCCTGGGTTCTCTGTGTTGAAGGACACCCACTTAAAAAAAAAAAATCACATTTCTCCCTGAAAAGCTTTAATCTAAGGTGTTGCTTTTAACAGGTTTTTTTCCAATGTTTCCACTTTGTGCATTGGGTTAAGCACTGTGTGCGAAGTTAGTTTTGCTCTTTCCTTGTCTGCATCTATTCTTCGTGCAGTGAAGGGGTGTGTGAAAAGAAAGGAAACCTGATGGTAAAACCATGACAAGTGGGTAGTGCAGACACAACACCTAAAGTGACTTGAAACGGACCACCTGTGTCAAAGCACCCCTTCATGCTTGTTATATGGGGAAACTATTCCACTGCAGAGGTCAGGGTCCACTAGATACACAGTTACACAAGAAGGCAATTGTAAGAGTCTCAGATTTACCTCAGTGCCTTTTTTTAAGAGTGAAACCTTTACTGTAAAACTCATGAGGACCATCTGTTGGGAAGGGCTTTTCCGAAAAGCCATTTGTCACTTTTTCCCCCTGCCCACTCAAGTACTGTAGGCATGAGGCTGATTTTCTTGGGCGTGAGAAAAGAATGGTTCAGGCTCCCTTAAGGTGACTTTTCTATGAGTATGTGTTAAACAGGAGAGTAATTGCACCACTTAGCAAGCCTGTCACTATGTAGAGGTGTCACCGCTTTTTTACCTGGCAGCATTGACCAGTTTGATAATAGGGCTGCAGGGCAGGGGAAACCACCCAGTTGTACTGTATTCCTTACCCAGGTGACCTTTAACAACCCTGAGGCAGCAGAAAGAGTATCAAGAAATCCCAGGCTTTGTGGGTGCTTACCCATTTGTAAAATGGGGAGAATACTTACTGACCTCTCAAGTCCACTGTGCGACAGGTAAGTCATTAGCACTTAGTGCTCTGAGCTGCAAAAGCACGATCTACAAGTATTGTCTAAAAAGAAAGTGCACTGTAAAATGTCTGTGGTTCTGAGAAGCAAGAGCCAGATTTTTGTAAGCTTCACATCTTCCTGGCTAAAAGCTGTATGTAGTTTTATGGGTGTTTATGCTGATTTTGTTTTTTCAGTGACCATCCTACCCAGCAGACCCCCAAGCATGTCTTAAAACTTTTAGTAGAAGGCATGGCTTCTTATGCAATTACTGTGAATGCTGCTGATAAGCTCCTGCAAAAAAAGGAGGGCTGTTTGTGTTTGTTTGTTTTTGGATAAGGGGCATTAAAAGAGAGAACCCATGGAACACCTGTTCTGATACAAAGCACAGTCAAGTGATTTGTGCCAAAGGCACAAGCTTTAGATATTAGCAAAGGCCCCTTCTGTGAGATGCGCAAAATACTGCTGGCAGTGCCTTTGGTTAGTATTGTGTTTCCTAGTGCATGTGTGACTTTTTTGTCAACTGTAAACATGTAAAAATATGTATAAAATGGAATAGTAAAGCTTCGGTAGCCCAGCGAAATGCATTTTTGCAATGCTGTAATTTATTTTTACTACTTCCTGTTAATGCTGTGACATTCTACAAAGAAGTGTCACAGGCCACTTATGAAAGTTCTGGAACAGGTGACTCAGATGCAGACAATGTAAGAAAAAAAGATAATAAAACCAGTCAATGGTAAAGAATTGTCTTTGTTTTTATTTAAGGCTTTAGGTGCCCTCTTGTGGCATTCACTGGTATCGCTTTTTCTAAAGTGTCATGGCTGTCTAGACTATCTCTTTCGAAAGAGGCTTGTAGTCTACATGTACCCTAAAACACTAAGTCCCACCTGATCCTGTAAGGGATGTTATGCCTATAGAAGGCTCAATGCAAACAGCAGAGCCTTCAAATAAAGAGTCCCCTCTTGTATTTACATGAAATTCTGCGATTCCTTGCAGGAGTGGGGTTCAAACTAGTGTCTCAAACGAGGGGGCAAAAAAAGTCTAGTTTATTTCTCATAGCTGGTGTGGGGTTTTAGTAACCCCTGGAAGGATGTTGGTTTTCAAAAGGATGCTGACAGCTAAGCACATTTGTGTTAGAATTCATACCTCTCATAATTCAAAGACATGATGGGCTGGAATTGGCTTTTAGTTGTTAAACTGTTCCATTAACAAAATAATGAATGGTAACATACATACAACCATGCCCAGTCAGATTACTTTGTAAGCCAGAAATGTAGTAATCCATTGAAATGCTTTTGTAAAATTTTATTTAAAAAAAATTAGTTCAGCAGCCAAAGCAATGACACTTTGAGTGAAATCCTGGGCTCATGGAAGTAAACAGCAAAACTACTGACTTAAATGGGACCAGGATTTCACCCTTCAGCTACAGGCAGAAGGGGGTATAAATAATGAGATTTGAGTACTTCTTACTCTAGACATATTTACTTCTTCCGGCTAAGCTTTGGAGCCTTCTCCAGCCCTTGAATATATTTCCGAGGGAGCTGGTATTCCTCTGCAATATAATCAAGAGTCCAATTTAAGTATGTCCCAGAGTTAGATTTTAGAACTAAAACATTTACCTTGTAACTGATACAGTCCATGTCCACTCAAACTCACCAAGCAGCAACTTGGCAAGATGGTTGATTTGGTTGCCTTGGATCTGGACCTGAACTCTGTCCTTTGCCCCAGGTAGCGTGTTAATAGAGGCGCTGGCCTGTACTCTTTGCTGGAGAGTGTTGGCAACTAATTGCGGGTCTAGGCCATACAGTTCGAGATTCTTAATTATGGTCACCTGTGGATATTAGTGAAAATAACCTTTGTCACTAGGATATCTGGATTAACACCACCTACATAAGACCAGCAGTCAGGACTCGATCCTGCTTTTCTGATTAGAACTGGGCACTAAGGGTTTCCCCATTGTACTGAATTGGACATAATGGGCTGCTGTACACTATTCATTTGAATGTATAACCCCCTCCCTGCAGATACACACATTACCAAAAGCATTGCTGAAGGCAAAACAACAAAAAATTCCCTCCTCATACACACACAATCACTTGTTTAAAGTATACACATAATGTGATGTGCTTGACATTCCAGGATCTTTAGAAAACATGCTTGATAGTTGCTGTGTTGAGCAATTTAACATCTTTAAAGCACGTTAATACTTGGGAGTTCTAATCTGCAGAGCTGAGTGACAGAAGGTGTTCAATAGCACAGAACCACACCAGGGGCCTGTGCCAAGTTGGAGCAGTTTTCCAATTTCCTACACCTCACCCTCTGCTTCTCTTCAGCAAAGGGGCAAGACTAGCTATGCTGAAGACCAGAATTCCAGGACAGTAATGGTCCTACACGCCTCCAGCGTGGACTAAGATCCATAGAGGTTGTTAATCAACACACCTCTTCCCTATTCTCGCTCTGCCTTACCTTTTTATTTGACGATCTCTGCGCGATGGTTATGTCAATGGGATCGAGGTTTCCTTTCTTCACAACGGGTTCACGTCCAAAAAATGTCATCTGGTGGTGAGGCTGCAGTTTTTCCAGACACCTGAGAAAGGTAAGGCCGGAGTTTAGTTTGTCAGATACAAAAGGTTGCACAATCTCTTTTTGTTAATCTGGGATTCCAGATATGTAGACCAGAGTGATCAAGTGTCTCCAATTCTGATCACTGTGTTTAAGACCGTTCTAGCATGAGTTTGAAGATGTTCTAAGATAGCTTTATGTGTATGTACGTACAGATAGTATATACAGAACCAGGTTCTGTTAGACTTGCCTTGTGAATGCTTATTGGAAAAAAGATCCATTTTTAAATATTACATTTCTGTGATGTTACTATTCACTTTCAAGGTGGTAAGAAAGAAAGAAAGAAAGGAGCGTATACAGCAAAAACTGTCTACTAAACTCGTGACAAGATTTGTAGGTAGTTTTACATTAACAATAAGAAGGTCACTGCCTACTTCAGGGCTTAGTTGTCTAGTTACGATTAACTCTACATGTGGCAAAAGCCAAGTGTGACATTCTTAGCAAATGTGAAAGCCGTCAGGAAACAGCTTGGAGCAGGGAGTTGGACTAGATGACCTCTTGAGGTCTCTTTCAACCTAATCTTCTGTGAAACAACGTAAGTCACCTGCTCAGGAGATCATCCCATTTGAGCTTCAAGATCTCGTCTTGCTCCGATTTATCCAACAGGCAGTCACACAAAATTGGATTTATCTTGACAAAGCTGTAATAGAACAAACTGATCAGATGCGAAGCTGCTCTGTCTCTTCCCTGAGATGTGGGCATTGGGCCTATCTTCTCTGCCAAGCATGCAGCTGTTCCCATGATCAGCTCATGACTATTTATTTCAGCTCCTTAGCATTTGGTGACAGATTAACTTCAAAGCCATCACCCATCTCCAACCCAGCCCAGTGCACTTGTGCTGTAGTTTGATAAATTGGTCCATGTAACACCATATTAATTTTCTTTTATACACTCCTTGTTACTCAAATTTTCTTCACTAAACTCATAGACTTTAAGGTCAGAAGGGACCATTATAATCATCTAGTCTGACCCCCTGCACAATGCAGGCCACGGAATCTCACCCACCCCTCCTAGAATAATCCTCACCTATATCTCGGATATTGAAGCCTTCAAACTCTTTTTGCCCTTCACTCAGCTTGACTAGTGAAAACAGATGCACAAATAAAATTCACTTCTACTCACTTCTTGTTTGCTTCATCAACCAACTCGTTAGTCTTCACATAGCTGATGATGATATTTCTCACATCGCTGCTGGAGAGGATGCTGCCTTTCCTATGGAAGGAGGGAATTTTCACTAGGGTGCATTAAGAAATAGGAGTCTGAAAGCTGTACTAACACTTGATACTTCTAGAGGAGCTTGCTTCTTGAGGATCCCAGGCTGCCAGGGAGGGTCGTTTAAAATTACAAATTACACTACCATGCTGCTCCAGCCGTGAATGGGGGCGAAAGGGTGCAAAGGGGTTTGTCATCTCACCACTCCTTCCCCTCCCCCGCTGGGCTGACAATTGTGGGACTACACACAGAAGTCTCCTCCCGGAGGGTAACAAGACAGCTGTTTATTCCCCTTCTACACTACAGTGTAGTAAAGTAGAACACACTGTCTCTCTAAACCAGTGTTTCTCAAACTGTACTCCACGGAGCCCCAGGACTCCGCGAGACATCTCCGGGGGCTCCATGAGATTGACAAACTGGAAACGTTGTTAGGTACAACACATACAGTCAGTGGACCTTTGGGGTTCCGCATACATTTTCACACATGTAAAGGGCTCCGAAGCCCAAAAAGTTTGAGAACCGCTGCTCTAAACAGTCCAAGGAAACAAATGGTAAATGCCTGATCAGGAATTTGTCCAGGGCACCGGAGTTACCACACTTACACTGTTAAAGTGCTAAAAGATTCTCTGGTGATTTCAGGATTTTAATTTTTTGCTTATCCAGGCTAAAATGCTCCTAGCCGCATGCTCTGACATTGCTTCAATACTGACAGAAGACTGCTGAGTAACACCTGGCACATGTCTTCCCTCCACCTCTCTCTCAAGGCTGGCTTGGCAGGTGGGCCCACTTCCATTTCTAATGATGGTTTCACCCCATCTTCCTAGCACTCACTTATGTCCAGACTCCTGGAAAAGTGGAGCCATTTTGCTTGAGACACCGTAGAGTGGTATGATTTCAGGAGCATGGTACAGTTGCTCTCCATCTCCGTATTTGTTCTCGGGGGCAGAGGACACTTCAGACAAGGCTTCAGGGACAACAAACGACTTGATGCTGAAATGCAGTGGAGAAAACAGGAGAAGCTAGTTTCACAGTAGTTTCCAGGCAGAGGAAGGTTGGGTGACTGTTTAGCTCTTGCCTCCAGCTTTTCAGCAGTACAACAGTTCTCCTAAAACAGCCCCTCGGCCCACACCCTCTTCCCCCTCAACTGGCCACCACCGCAGGCCTGGCCAGGACACTTGACCTTATCACACTCTGTGGGATGCCCCATGTTTATAAACCAGAAGCAAAGATCAGGATTGGCTTTGCACACGCATCCCGACTCGCCCTGCAGAGCACAGCTCCTCTGCCCATTCTTGAGTCTTAAACTCTTTTCCCATTACTTGGAATAGGCCACGTGTTTAAAAAAAAAATCAAAGCAGCTTTGGAGACTCACCTGCCCTTCGGTCCCCATGTCCATTTCTGTGGGGCTTACAATTGTAGCTTCCTTTTCTTTAGATTGCTCCCCCTTTTTTCCTATACAAAAGGTCCCATTCTCCACCCACACGGGAAAGTGACTGTCTATGACTTGCTACCAAATACCCAACATGTACTGAAGAGGTAGGAAATATTTTTCCTCTCATCTCTTGCTTAAAAATTATAGCAGCTATTCAGAGCAGCATCTGTCCTTACGATATAAAGCAGTTTCTCAACCAGCGGTACGAGTAACCTCAAGGGTACTCAAGAGAAGTATGGGGAGGTATGTCAACGTAACTGAAGTTTGGAGAGAACTGAATTAGTTACGTTTAATAGCACTGATAATTTTTTTCTACTATTGCAACACATTTTTTTTTTAAAGACAGTTTAACTTAATCGTAGCGAGGTGGGCAATGAAATTTTTGGGTGTAAAAAGTACAAAAATAGTCTGAAAACTGTAGGCACTGAGGGTACTTCATTAAAAAAGTTGAGAAACACAGATATAGAATACCCCTTTTGACAAAAATGCCACCCATCAGATGCAAGTGCTGATTTCAGTCCGCTAAACAAATGTCTACTCTCAGCTATTTAAAGATCTGTTCTTACTTCCCAGTGTCAGAGAGTAGAACCATGGATCCTGTGCCTGGAGACAGAGAAACTGAGGGGTAAGTTTGGTCTGTCTATGGTCACATGTCTGGGGTTTTAGAACCCTAAACAGGGCACGTGAGATGCCTGTTTGTCGGCACCTCAGAGGAGCACAAGGCTTGAACCTTTGGGTCTTGGATTTCCACTGCTGGAAGTCTCTGTAGTGACCAGGAAAGGTTGGACCTACACAATGACTAGTGTTATTTCCAGGTGAACTACTGAGCAGTGAAAGAGTGGTTCCTTCTCCTTTAGAGATGGCGCTACAACACACAGCAGCATTCAACACCACAAGAACTATGGAGACTGCCTCCAATGTACTATGTTTTCCTTTCCGCCCCAGACGGAAGACCTTTCTAGTGCAAGCTGGTGGACACACTGGAGAAAATGCACAGCCTGCAGGTGCAAATTTCAACACTGCATTGCATCCAGGAAAATTAAGACATTTAGGCAACTTGCAGGCAGTGTGTTCAGTTCTGGTTCCTGCAACTTAATGAAGCTGTTGAAAAATTGGAAAGGGTATAAAAAGAGAGCTACAAAAATTATTCAAGCACCGGAAAAAATGCTTAACAGTGAGACTTGTTCTGTTGAGCTTACCCAAAAGAGGGGACCTGATGAGGGTCTAAGTATCTTCATGGAGAGAATATACCAGGTACTAAAGAGCTCTTTGTTTGGTCTGCCTTTCTCCATCAACTAAAAATCAATGGTTGGCAGCTGATGCCAAACAAAATCAAACTGGAAATCAGGTGCAAATGTTTACCAGGGAATGTGATTAGCCACAGAAACAAACTACAAGGGGAAGTGGTGGATTCACCATCTCTTAAGGTCCTTACATCAAGACCAGATGAATGCCTGTCTTGATAGGCTTTAGCCAAACAAGTTGGGGAGCTGGATAACTGGGTGAAAAGGAATGGGCTGTGTTCTGTAAGAAATCAAACTGAAAGAGCTAGTGGTCCCTTCTGCCCTTAAACGCTATCAGAAGTCAACAGCAACAATACTTGGTATAGCTCCAGCATCTTTCATCTAAATATTATAATGTAACTTTTCAGTCACTCACCCTTGGAAAACAGACATGTTAGCAGAGGCTCCGTGCCTCAGTTTCCCAATCTGTAAATGGCACAATGTTCTCTCCTTGTGGAGAGTGCTTCATATGCTAGGAAGGAGAAGTGCTAGGATAGATCAGTTCCTCTCTGGGATGGAATGCGGCCGCTATTTTACAGAATACAAGACCTGCATTCTAAGTACAGATGATCATGTCCACTTAAATGGGGAATTCAAATAGACTACCTGAGCTGAAGTTTGATTGACGGCCCTACCTCTAATGAAAAAAGCTGCAAGACCCTGGAAGATCTCTAGCCACCTCAGTGCAGTTTATAACAACTTACTCGGAGTGTTTCCAGTTTATATCCACAATACTCTCCACCCCTTTGTTCAGCTCCTTCACTTGTACAATCTTCTGCTGCTGCATGTGCTGCAGGAACTTGGAGAGCTGAAGGGGAAACAGAGAAAAATAATGGACCAAGTCAGGCGCGCTGGAATTTGGGTTCACGCCATCACTGTGCCTATGCCAGCCACTCTGCTTTGGGATCGAAACATGCATCTGAGGAAGTCAGACATTTCACTAAAACACGTCACAAAACCAACTTTTCTTCTCCGTAAATATAACCAACCCATGGTAGCACTTTTGCACATTCAGTGCCATCTCCTGTTGAGAACAAGATACCAGGGGTTCCACTACTGGCCCTGACACTGATTTGCTTGGTGATCTTCAGGTCAGCTAATACTCCCAACTTGTAATGCTTTCATCCTTTGCTCAAGCCCATGAGAGATCCACTGCTAAAATCCTGAAGAGGAAAATTGCAGGAGGAGCATCTGCATATCCCAGAGAGGAAAGATCTTTCAGTCCAGCACAAGAAAAGGACTCAGGCGATCTAGCTTCAAATTCCCAACTCTGCCACAGAGTGTGTGTGACCTTGACCTAATCATTACTTCTCTTTGTACCTCACTTTCCTGGCTGTAGAAAAGGAATAATCATACTTTCTAAGGGCTTGTCTACACTTGAAATGCTACACTGTAAATACTTACCTAGGCCAAAAAACAGGGTTCTCCCCTAGATAATCCCACTTCAACAAGTAGTAGCTAGGTCAACAGAATAACCTAGGGCTATCTATATAGGGAAGGTGGGGGGGGGGGGGGGGGTGGGGTGTTAGATCAGCTTAATACATCACTTGGGTGTGGATTTTTCACACTGCTGAGCAACATATAGTCAAGCTTCCTTAATTTTCTAGTGTAGACTGGGCCCAAGTTTTCTGGGACACGGGCTCTCTTACTCTGTTTATGCACAGTGCCTAGCAAAATGGAGCCCCAGTTTGGATTGGGGTTCCCTTAACACAAAACTGAGTGGGCAGAGCAAGCAATATTTGATGAACCAATACAAATGATTTCAGGACAAGTTAATCTACCAAGCTGAGCCTGAACAAGTGATCAAAGAAAGGAATACAATCCATAGCTTTGGGAATGGCTTCTTTAAAAAGGACCCCTCCCCCCGGCAAGAACTTTACCAGATTTAAAAAAGAAAAAAAAAAAAAAAAAAGAAAAAAAATCTCACCTTCTTGTAACTTGATTTCTTTATGTCCAATTGTTGTCCTTCTGGGCTACAGATTAAAACACAACCTTTAAGTTACAACAAACAGCTGGAACTAAGGAAAAATTAGTGTTTGACAAAATTAAAAATGCATGCAGTTTTCAAGACTGGTACAAGCTTTTTAATAGTGTGCCTATGAATTACGCCTGGGAACGCGACTTTAAACATTGAGAGATAGTGGAGTCAGTTTTGTAAGCAACAAGGAAATGTTCACATTCCAATGGGTTAGGCATAACAATACAGAGAACCTGTGTGCGGTACATAACGGTTTCCTAACTTCCTTCAGCCGAGACCCCCTTTGGCTTCTGACTAAACTTCATTTGGTTAAGATATAAATTTCACATTATCTTGCTTTAGATTAGTTGATTTTTAATATATATTTTCATACAAACTAAAGTTTGTGGTGTAGTCCTGAATGTGTATGTACCAGAACGTTCCCACTGGCATGACCTCCCAAGCATGGTGTGTGCAAGGTCCTGGTGCGTGGACTATGCCATTTTGAGAACACAATGGCATTGTTCATGTGGCAGACTTGCCAGAACACAGGGCAATCCAAACTGCAGGATGTCTCACAGGACACTTTCCTCCCTCCCTCCCTCCCCCCCCCAAGAATCCCAGGGGGCAGGGACCCCACTTGGGGAATCCCAGATAGTGTTTTAAATCAAGTTACTCATTCATGGCCACTTGAAAGGGGAAATGGAGGCTGACAGTCCTGGAGCAACACTTTCAGAGCAGTATGTATAATGTTAGCTATCAAATATGTTGAGCTCTAGGGTAAAAATTCACCATAAAACTAGTGAATTACATGAAAAGCAGCAGCTTCACCCTAAATATCTCACTGTCCCACGGCACTTTCATTTATACCCCCAAAACCCCACCACGCAGCCCCCCAGGATGGTCTTGTTACCACCTACCAGCATGCGAACATATGGTTGCGCAAGAAGGTGCTGGTGAGTAGCGGCAGCTCTGACTTCTTCACTTTACATTTTAAAGCATGAAAAAAACATTGATGCAGTAACTCGTCCATTCGCTCTGCAGAAAACACAAAACACTTCTCATGGGCCTCTGTGTAGAAAGAGACGGTGCTGACAAGAATGAGTTCTCATTCATCGGGATATTTATTTTTTGTATTGATTCCGCTGAGTTTGAAAATGTGCAATCAGTGCGGTTTAGGCACTACGTTCAACACATCTAAACAGCAAAATCAGAGCCAGGATCTTGTACGTTTTAATCGTAGTGCTGATACCTGCTCTCCTCTGCAACCTTGGGAATGTCACAACCTCCCTTTCACCCCAGGTTTCCTCATGAGGAAATAGTGCTCACCTCCCACTCCAGGGAGTTACCTAGATTAAAGGAGGAGTTATGAAGTGAAACTATGTTTAATTACACAGATGTGTTTTAAACGCAAATCCCTTTAACATGCATAGTCCAAAATCTGACTTGTCACCATGCTTATTGCTCAGCCCTAATCCGGCCTGTAAAACAGAGTCACTTAGATTTCACACAGGTGGGTTGTTGCCCCTTTGTGGGCACACAGAGCCTGCTGTCCTCTGAAAAGCACTTTCCCTAAGAGGTTGGTTTGGAATGCATGGTGTGTGTCACGTTTACATATGTACAACATTTCTACAGACTGTTAGGCCAAAGTGCCACTTTAGGCATCTCAGATTCAACGTAGGACATAATTAATATTTTGAGCCCATAAAGGGACACTTACTGTAAGTGCTACTGCAGAAAAGCCTCCCACGAGGGCAACTTTAGCTTTGTGGAAGCAGCTTTTACAAACAGATCTTAAGGCTCAAATTCTGAATTAAAAAACCGTACAGCCCAGAGAAACTGTACCTTCCTAATGGGTTACTGGAATTGCTTACATTTGAGAGCAGCTTTGCTGTGAAATTATTCTCAGCTCCTACTGTAGTCCCATTTACGACTGGCCTCATCTATCCAAGAGGTAAGTGTCTCTGTGTGTCACATGTTTTGGCAATACATGTGAAGCTTGTAATGCAAAACAAAACAACCCAACCTCTTACTGAATAGACTATATTATCCAGAGAGCCCTCTGGGGGTACAAGATTGGTATCCATATCTGCAAAAGTGAGCCGCACATATCCACATTCAGATCTGCAGACACCAGAGGATACAAAACGGATACCTGAAGATTTGTAGGGTTCTAATGATCTACCATGTCATGGACCATAGTCCTGGAACACTAAGTTTTCTTTGGTATGCCAGAAGGTGTTTTCTGAAGTTAATCACCCAGGGAATCCTTTGAGCACAGAACTTTCAGTGCTGCTCCCACAACAATTACCATAATTCAAAAGTTTCTCAAAGCACTCTACAAAGGTGAGTACCACTAGCCCCATGGGGAAACGGAGATACAAGGAGAAGTGAATTACCCAGCCACGTAACAGGTGAGTGGCGGAGCCAGGAATAGAGTCCACATCTCCAAACTCTCAATTCAATACCCTAATTGCTTAACACACATCTCCTAACAAGTGGAACACAAAGAGAAGAGTTTGGGTGCTATACTGAAAAAGCATCCTTTTATGAGCTCCAGCAGCTTCAAACAAAATAGTTCCTTAGCGCCCAGACCACACAGCATGCTGAGAGCCTTCACTTCACTGAAGTGGAGGAGAATTTAGCACATCCAAACATATGCTCAGCAGCTAAGGCACAAGGTTGCTACTGAATTGCTGCCTACCCATCAACTAGCAGGTAAATCCTGGGACAGGCATGAGAGTCCCAGTTCAGTGAAGAAAAGGGGAGGTGGTTATAGGTCAGGCTTGTACACTGAAGCCAGACTACAAATACACCTATTTCTGCATGAATGCCCTGGCTCACCAGAGATCACCAGGGGACTTTTTGAAGGACTGTAGGCTCTGTGTCTGACAGGGTGGAGCAAACCCTGAGGCCAGAGAAGGGCCATAGAGAAGTACTCCCTGCAGGCTAGAGTGACTGTGGAGGAACCAGCCAATCAGGGGCTAGGAGGGACTACAAAAGGAGCTGCAGGACTAGAGGCAGTTCAGTTGTAGCCTAGACCTGGAAGGGAGGTGGTCAGGGGTGGCTGGCAGAACCAGGGTCAGCTCCTAGAGGAGAGCTGTTGAGAGATGGATGGACTTGAAGGTAAAGTCCTGAACTATGGGCAAAGAAGTATCTCCAGGAGGGGAAGCTCTGGAGACACCACTATCCTTCAGAGTGAGAGAAACTGAGAGAACAGCATCGAACAGAGACTCTACAGCAGGCACCAGGATGGGCCCCTGTTAGAGGTGCATCCCGGAAGGGGTTGTGATCACACTACAGCTGTGTCTACACTGGGCCACTTATTCCGGAAAAGCAGCCGCTTTTCCGGAATAACTTGCCAGCTGTCTACACTGGCCGCTTGCTTTTCCGGAAAAGCAATGATGATCTACTGTAAAATTGTCAGTGTTTTTCCAGAAAAACTATTCCGGAAAAGGGCCAGTGTAGACAGTACAGTAGTGTTTTCTGCAAAAAAGCCCCGATCGCGAAACTGACGGTCAGGGCTTTTTTTCCGGAAAAGTGCGCTTACATTGGCCACTGACGCTTTTCCAGAAAAAGTGCTTTTCCGGAAAAGCATCCTGCCAATGTAGATGCGCTTTTTCCGGAAATACTTATAACGGAAAACTGTTCCGTTTTAAGCATTTCTGGAAAAGGGTGCCAGCGTAGACGTAGCCAAAGCGTGAGACTTGGCTGGAAGACCGAGTAGGCGCAGTGCTTTTAAGATGGACAGCATGCAGGAACCGGCACTCGGCCAAGCGAGGGCATCGCATGAGGGGAGTGCTAACCCGGTTACATCACCACTGTTCAATGACCAGGCAACCACTCAGTGTGAGTCAAAGTCAGGATGGCTAGGACCAGACAGAGGAATCTAATAGAGAAGTGGCAGCTGCATGGTTCCATAGATAGAGCCCTGCAAAGCCACAGATGGCCGCTTTATATCCATGGGTATCCACTTCTGTGAGTGTGGCTGTGGACCCGAAGATCATTTTTGCAGATATCCGCTTTGTATCGGCGGGGGGGGCCCATTTTTGCAGAGGCGTATACAAAATGTTATATCCGCACAGGGCTCTATCCATAGAGACACAACATGGTTTCATTTTTATGCTACCATACCTTGTGGAGTTCTGCCATCTTCTGTTTCCAGCTGAACCTCTGTGATATCTTCAGCCATTTCTTCAGCACCAGGCTCACCAGGTTCCTCCTCCTCCTCAGTCAGCCTTGTACAACTGTTGCCCTCCTGCAAGCTCAAACTGCCAAGGTCCATTTGTAGCGATGGGGCAATGGCAAGATCACTCATGGGCTCCCGTCCCCCCTCCTCTTCATCATCTTCATCGGTGCTTTCCAGCTCTGCAGGTTCTGCTCCCAGTGGCGCTATTGTGGGTGGATTCAACTTGTCTCCAAGTCCCCTTTTTAAAAAAAAAAAAAAAAAAAAAGCATAAAGCAACTTTATGGATGCCTCTTCATTATTTTGATACAGGATGGTTTCTCCTCTAGCTGTGAAGCATCCTGTGCCAGAAATCACAGCCATTCCCGTCTAGTGATTGCATAATCATGGAGCTAGAAAATACAGATCCATCAAATGAAGATGAATTCACCATGCCCTAGGTAAGTACGTTGTTCCCATTGTTAGTTACACTTGCCATGAAAAGTTTGCACTTTATTTCTCGTCTGAATTGGTCTATCTTTTGTTTTCTAGCCATTGGAGCTTGTTATGCCTTTGTCTGCTGAATTAGAGCCCTCTAATTTCAGAAATCTCCTCCCCACATAGGTACTGCTAGACTTATCAAACCACTTAACCTTTTCCAAAAGCTAAGTAGTCTGGACTCCTTAAGCCTCTGACTATCAAGGAGGATTTTCAGCTGCTGGGTTTTTGTTTGGTTTTGGTGTTTTTTGTAGCTACTATCCCACCCAAAAGCAGGCCAGTCAAGATCCCAGCTCCACTAAAAGATTACTTGCCACGGCCGAGTCTAGAGCACATCAGACTTTTGCTGTCCCTACATACTCCATTTTGATTTTTAGAATTCTTGGGGGTGAAACTGGTACCCATGATGAATGCCAGATGGCTAGTCCAGGAAGCTCAAGCCCCTTATTTAGCCACAGAATAGGAATAACACAATCAGCCTTAGGACAAAACTTCCCCCACTCTGTTTCTTAACTCTAACTGGTGACCTTGTCCTACCAGAACTCATTAAGTTAGTGCCAGGTGCATTGGTGACTTTGTGACATGACTACTTGAACCTCAAGGGCAGGACTGAGACACATCCATGTCCATTTAATCTCAGGCAGGCCAAACTACCATCCATCCAATGGCACTAAGTTTTCATCAGAGCTAACCTCAGGCCATGGAGCTCTGAAAACAAGCTACTGGCATGCAGCCAGGCTCTTGCAGGGTTCTAAAATGGAAACACCCCTAAGGTAACTCTGGACACTAGTAAGAGTGAAAGCTACAGTAATCTCCTTCCTCAAAACACACATTTTATAAGCTAGCAGGCTGAGGTGAGGATTATAGAAAATCCCAGCAGAGAGAAGACAGGAGTCAAGATGCATATTCCTCTTCATTAAATGAAAGGCAATGCGCATTTATTGCACAGCAAAAAGGTACTAAAGTGAAGCATAATAATAATGGGCCAAATTGGTTCACGGTGCAACTCCATAAAATTCAAAGAATTTTCCCTAGCAATTTAGTCCCAATGTCATAGAACACTAGAACTGGAAGGCCCTCTTCCTTGTGATACCCTTTTAGATACCTGAAAATCGTTGTCCCCTCTGTCTTTTCCTTTCCAAACTGAACAAGCCCAATTCTTTCAGTCTTCCTTCGTAGGTCATGTTCTCTAGACCAGTGTTTCTCAACCAGCGGTACTAGTACCCTGAGGGATACTTGAAGTCTGGGGGGGTGGTGATGTAGTGTTGGTACCTTGCTGGTTTGCTAGGCTGGGGTTGTGGGTGACCCCCACTGGCTGCTGTCTGTACCACAGCCCAGCAGAGTTGCTGATGGGACAGGGAGGTAACCTGTTCTCCCTGGGAGGCAACTCGTTGAGAAACGAAGGAAGGAGGGGAGGCCAGCCCCTGGCTGGGAGGCAAGGCTGGAAGGGATGTTTTTTAGTTTGTCTGGTATCATGGAGGAAGTAGCCTAAGCAATGGGCTGGGATTTAGGGGCCCAGTTTCCCCCCATCTCAAGGGGGTCTGAGGCATCCTAGGCCTGCCCTGTAACAGGATTACATGTTTGCTATATCCTGGAGAAGCAATAAACTCCCTCTAGTCTGTTCGTGCCATTACAGGGGTGCAGGAGGCGGGGGAACCCTGACACGCAGCCACAGGGGGTACATCAACACCACTGAAATTTGGAGAAAACTGAATTTGTTTTAAGTTTTACTGCACTTCATTATTTTTGTACTTTACACCCAAAAATTTCACTACCCGCCCGGCTATGATTAAGTTGTTTAAATAAATGTATTGCAATGGTAGAAAAAAAAATTGTCTGAAAACTGTAGGTACTGGGGGGGTTTTATAATTTTTTAAAGGGGTACTGTATTAAAAAAAAAGGTTGAGACACACTGCTCTAGACCTTTAATCATTCTTGTTGCTCTTCTCTGGACCTTCTTCAAATTCTCCACGTCTTTCTTGAAATGTGGTGCCCAGAACTGGAATATCTTATATGTATGGGCACATGCACATAAAGACATCAGGGCACACCCCATCTCCTGCTAGAAGTGCCATGGGAATTAACAGCTATATAGAGCAGAGCAGACTAGAAGTATTGTTAAGGCTTCATCTGAAATATCCCCCTAAACAGTATTAAATTCTGTGGGATCTGACTCAGCTAGGATCTGAAACTTTGGGGGGGTTTTGTACTAACTTAGATGGAACAAATGGGCCCAAAGAGTCAAAGTCAGTCACTGGGGTCAAGTTAACATTAAACATTGTTGAGAGATGCAGGATTTGGTATATGGCAAACACACACTGGACTCTTATTCAAGATACAGAAAATAAGGCAAACTCCGTAAAGCACTTGAAATGTTAAGAGTTAAAGTTTTCATTTTGACAACATCCTTTGTTCCCCTTAGCTACAGAGAGATTTTAGGAGGAAAATCGTCTTTGACTGACAGTCTCTTATTAAATATGGTAGCAACTACCCTTTGGGGAAGAAGTTAGCTGAGATGACCTGTTGCAGCTACTGTTATTAAAAGTCCAATCTGGTTTCCTCAAAGACAAGACACAAATACCCCTCATAAATGAGCAGAGAAAACAACATCCTACATAGAAAATGCAGCTTCTGTCTCTGGGGTTGAACCCTCACTGCTGGAAAACAGCTGTTCAGCCACTCCGACTCCCGGCACACTTGTACCAGCATTCGGGCTGTTTAGGGCACTGTTTTTAGCGCTCTTTTTGGTCATAGGCTTACAGGTTTTTCAACACTGCTGTACTGGACTAGGAAAGAAGAAACACAGTAGGGAAGGAAGAGGAGGACGTTGTTTTGAATTGCACTTGGTTTTCAGGAATTAACTGGAGGTGGCAGTGTTGCATGGATCCCTCTCTGGATGGGGCTGGTCAGAATCTCTCTCAGGATTAGAAATGAGGAGTTCAGGGGGCCCAGGAGAAAGCGAGGCTGGCAGCCACCACAGTGAAGCTTGCTCTAGTAACCAATTTTCCCCCCCCCATCTCTCTCTTTAAAGACACAAAAAGGGAGGGTAGGTGGGGAGAGAAGGATATTGGAATAGCCCATTCCCTCGCTATCTCTTCCACCAATTATACTTAGTTTGACATGCCAACGTGAGCTCATTAATTTTTCAGTTTCATCTTGTTTACCAGGCACGACCTTAACACAGTCCTGATTTATAGCAATAGCCCTTTTGTCTGAACTAGTTCATCTGCCTAACTCGCTTTTGCCCCTCTTCCAGTCAACACGTGCCATTATAGGTGACCGAGACATTCCATGAACTCTGGCCTCACAGCTGAGCTCACAAGTAGGGTAAATCAGCAGGCTTCAACAGCTTCCTGGGAGTATTCCAGACCCAGTCCTCATCTCATTTTCAAAGACACCCTGGACCATTCGTTGTCTGCATACCCACCATAGATGGTCCGTGTAAACATGCAGTATGGCGAAACCCTTCCCTTTCATTCCAGCAGCCAGCATCTCTCCAGTGGACATGGTAGCGACTCCTACTGCTACTGGGGCCCTGAGAAAACAGTATCAGAATGGAACAGCAAATATTCATACTACCTAGAACACAAGACTCCTAAGCCAGCATAGCACGAGCATTCTTCTGCAACGTCCTTGATAAGGGAGACCAATTACTATTCTAAAAAGGTATGTCTACACTACAGTATTATTTTCAAATATCTAATTTTGAAATAGCTATTTCAAAACAACGCATCTACACACAAAATGCATTTCGAAATAGCTTTTTGCTATTTCGAAATAGCGCGTCCACACTCAGTTGACGCTAAATCACATTTAAGGCTGGCTGGAACCAGGTCCGGCAGAGCATCAGGTCAGGAGTTACTTTGTGTGGCTGCTGGCTGAGGCCTGTGCTTAATGCAACCTCCCTCCCCTGGCAGCTGGTTTTCACCTGTCTCTGCTTGCTTACCTCGATGAGGGACAGCAAAGCATTTTGTCTCTGTGCTCTGATTGCCCTCACTCGAGACAGCACAGCACGCTGCAACATGGAGCCAGAGCTGCCCCTGGGCACTCTGGTGCTTCTCTTCAACACATTGCTGTGAGCCTGGCTGCACTTTCTGCAGGCTGCCATCCAGGAGGTCCATCAGGGGGCTGTCAGTATCAAGGAGGCCCTGCGGGAGAGCTTCCACCCTGAGGAGCACTAAGAGTCTCCCTGGTCTGCCCCATTGGGGGCTTGTGCCTCATTCCTCCCTCATGGCCTTCCACTTACCCCTCCTTAATGTCAAATAAAATACACGTATTTTCATGAACACAAACTCTCTTTAACAAAATGGAGGGTGGGGGGAGAGAATGAAACTCTGGTGAGACTGGGGAAAGGAGGCGGGAGACGGGAAGAGAGACGGTGGGCGAGGGGAGGGGTAAACCTGGGAGGAGGGAGCTGGAAGGGGGAAGCAAGGAGAAGCTCAGGGTTGGGGGGGGTCTTGCTGGTTCACCTGACTCCCAGTACTGTGGGTGTGGGGGCCTCGGCATCCCCAGGGGGAGCGGGTATGAAGGGTGGGACGGGGTGAGGAGGTGGGGGAGGAAGAGGTGGAAGGAGGAGCAGGAGTGGGAGGAAGAGCGATAGCTGGGGCAGCAGTAGGGGCTGGAGTGGCAGGAGGCACCAATCTCTGCACCAGGGTCGCAGATGGTATGGCCTTGGGCAAGCAGCTCCCACCAGCTCTCCTGCTCCAGCTGCAGGTCTTCATGCACCCATTGCTCCAGGATGCAGACCTGCCTTCGCAGGATCCCCAGGTGCTGCCGCTGGTGGTACTCCTGGTTCTGGGTCACCCTGCTGTCCTGGGTGTGGGAGGATGTCCTGGGCGGGGTGGTGCACCCTGCACTCGCAGCTGCTGCAACTATGGAGAAACAAGAGAAGCGGAGAGGAGAAGGGAGAGGAGTGTTCTTGGTTGAGGCCGAAGTGGCCACCAGGGCACCCCGGGAAGGCTGGAGGCCCCCTATTTCGATATAAGTGTCTACACAGCACTTATTTCAAAATAGCAATTTTGAAATTGGCGTTATTCCTCGTGGAATAAGGTTTACCAATTTCGAAATAACCGTTCCACTATTTCGATTTAATTTTGAAAACGGAATGTCTGTGTAGACGCTAGGATTGTTATTTCGAAATAACTTTGCTGCATAGACATACCCAGATAGATTCACTGTAATTCTGTTCTTTACATTGTGCAATTTCAAACCATCTAGACACTTTCTATTTTCACCCGTTCCCCTCTGGTATGCAAGGTCTTCTCTCCACACTACCCCACAAATTCTCACTGGATAGCTGCCCTTTAACATCACTCAAAAATGCCCTCTTCCGTTCATTCTCTCAGAAACATCTCACAGTGGCTGGTGTTAGAAGACAGGATACCGGGTCAAAAGCAACATTGGTCTGAACCAGTATGGCCATTCTTGTATACTTAGCAAGCCACTCACGCGCCTTCCTCCTTGGGAGGAGACTAATTTAGAGAGTTGCAAAGAGCAGGCAGAACAAAATTTGGAATACAGCTTTGAATTTACAGCGATTGGACATTTAAAACAATTCATATGTTATCTGCTTTCACAAAACAATCAAACCCAACAACACTGATAAACTCCATGGTCCCATCCCCCTTGTAAAGTAGCCCCATTCCCAGGAAAATAACTGATCAGAGTTTCACTGTTTTGTTTAAAATTATCTTATTTCAAAACAGAATCCTCAACACTGAAGAAAAATCTTGTCTTTATTTAAACGTTATGCATTTTGATTCAAAACCATCCCATTTGCAAAATTTTCCACCAAAGGCAAAATGTAAGATACCAAGGATATGCCACCACAAAATTGCTAATTTTTCTTGCAAAAGTTCCTAAATTCAGAGTCTGCTTTCATATTTTTGTTTCTCCTAATCCCTCTCAAAATCCTCACATAAAAATGCAACATTTCTTCCCTCGTAAGAGAAACTATAGATAAGTGTACCTGTTTCCCACCAGGGTAATGGCACAGAGTGTGCCCTGCTGTACCTGAGGAAGACCACGAGATGACACCATAACTCCTGGCAGCATTAGATCTGAGGTAAAACAATAAAGAGCCATTAGCATCCTCTTAACAGTTGCAAGCCAGTAACTATCCAGCCAACTCCTCCATACCCAGCCCTTCTGTTATTCAGCAAAAATAAAAGCTTGGAACAGCCAAGTGCACGACAGGTAAAAATTTCCTCCTGCATGTCTGCTATTGAGTTGAGAACACAGGTTGAACCTCTCTGGCCCATGATCTGGCAGAATTTTAGTTAGTTGGTTGTCTGCTTATTGTGAGTGTGGCCAAGTTTCCCACGGTCCCATAAAGTTACTTTACAGCCACCAGTCTTGGCTCTGTGTTCTGTGCTGTTATTTAGCTCTAATTACCCCCAAATAGTCTTTAAAAAGTCTATGGGGTAGCCGTGTTAGTTTGTAACTTTAAAAACAAGTAGTCCTATGGCACCTTAGAAAAATAATAGTAACATGAGCTTCCGTAACACTTGAAAGTACTTCACCCTGTCTATGCACAAACAATAGGGATGAAGGACCTATAAAACCATTTTACCATTCTATTAAAATAAAAGCATGATGGGGACACAGGCTCACATCCACAAAGGTACATAAGATCTTGACTTCCCTGGATTTCAGCAGAGGTTAAGAGCCTCCATGACTTTGTGGCTCTGGACCACAGCCTCTTATCTAAACCTATCCCGCTGATAAAGGCAAAGCTACTTGGAAGCACATACCTCACTCAGGAGGCAGTGTTTTCCATGTTTGGGGGAGGGAATGTTTTTCCCCATACCTTGGAGCTGACCTCTCAGTGCAGATTCAAAGGTACAACCCTCTGCCAGACCCTTCTAATTCTGCACACTGACACCGCAAATGCTGCCTCAAAAAACAAGTTTCTGACTCTGCTATCCAAATCCTTCACTCAGCCTGGTTGTTAAATTCGATTGGTCACAGCAGGAAGGCTTTGCACAGCTAGCATGAGCCTATATTTTCAAAATAAGGGCATGGGAAGTGGAGAGGGAAGAATCCAGGAGTGTTTCCAGCTCACCTTTCTCTCTTCTCCCAGCAGGTTCTAGCTTCTTCTACAACCCAGTGCAGACCCTTCAGCCTATTGCCCTTTGAGGGTGAGGAAATGATTGCCTAATTTAATTAACTGCAGCTGAGCTGGCCCTGCTAACCAAACAATGCCTGCACTGAGGGCAGCTGTGACTTTTCTTCTGCCTGGGACAGAGCATTAACCTTCTCCTTGCCAGATACATCAGTGTACCATTGCAGGTGTCAAGGGTTGCCTTCCTCCAAAGCCTCAGATATTAGCTATTGATGCAAGCAAGGAGCTGGGCTTGACAGTTGAGTGGTCTACTCTGGGTAGGCATTTAAGGGTACTGCAGGCCCTTTGCACTCCAGCATCATGGAACACACACTGAAG